TTTTTTGTATAAGGGGCCAAATTATTTACAGTAGTTATTTCTGACTTGTTGGCGATAAATTCGAATAATAAATGGACAGAACACAATCCACTTGTTTTAAAATAATATATTCAAAAAAAGTCAAACTATTTACAAAAACAATTTATATTATAGGATATCACAGGTTTATCTAAAACTCTGAAATAATTGTCTTTTCTTTTTTAAAAGTCCACATACTATAGAATCTGCGATAAATTTACTTACGTTATACTATGGGCTACCACAGTTGTATCCAGAACTTTAAATAATTGTCTCCTTTTTGTCAAAATCCACACAGGTGGGTTCGATTACTTTAGAACACCCTTTGACAAGACAAATTATTCTCCTTTATCTCTGTTAAACTGTAAAACTCTCACTTTAGAAATCGCCTGTCACAGCTAAACTGCCAATTACTCTGTCTAATTAACTCTCACTTAACTTGCTTTCTTTACTTCCTCTCTGTTTCTGCACACGCGACAGAAAAATCTAGAAACAGCTAGCCCTCTAGTGACAACAATATTACACAGAACAAGAAAACTTTGAGTAAGATGACGTCAACAATATTACGAAAACCTAGTACAACAATGAAACTGCTTACACAACCTTGCATTTTGAATTGTACTTGAAACAAGATCACTACTGTCTGGCACACAGTGGGCAGTATCCAGACAAAATATTCGGGATGTCTTAAAGCATCTCGAAGATTTTATACTGTAATCAGCTCATATACCTGATCGGGGACATGGGGAATTGTGATTAGATACTGGTTAATGACTTGTATGTTCTAAATACTGTCAAGTTGAACTGAAAATATTCTAGTCTCCTTGCAGTTGGTTTCGTTTAAAAGTTTAATTTACATGTGATTATAGATGGTATTACCTATAGAGTTTTTGATAGGAAGTTACAAAAGACCCACAACCTTTCCCTGATGCACAAAAGATATCAGTATTTTCGGTTTGATGTGTCAAGGTAAGTTTTAAGTAATGTAATATTTCAATAACAGCACTAGCAACAACAGTTTAATAAGGTTTCTACCATCCTGGCTGCCAATCTGTATACTAAGTGCATTCTCGCTTTTGCCTACATTTACCCATTAGTATAGTTTGTCATTGCCTGGAGTTTGGGGCACTTGACTCACAATTTGCGGGTCGCGAGTTCGAATTTCTTTTACCAAATATGCTCGACCTTTCAACCGTGGTTTCGTTATATTGTGATGGTCAATTCCACTTTTCATTGGTAAAAGAGAAGACAAAGTGTTGGTGGTGGGTGGTGTTGAATAGCTGTCATTGCTAAATTAGGGATGTCTAGTGCAGATAGCCCTTGTAGTTTTGCATGAAATTAAAACAAGACCTATTACTGTATGAAAATAAATTAATGTTCAGTCACTTTCTTCCTTTGCATCACTTGTTGATTGTATACAGATCAGGTTTGGCTGTTAGCATTACGATTTTTACTTGTTTGTTTGTTGAATTTTGGCAAAGCTACCTGAGGGCTATCTGCGGTAGTCGTCCTTAATTTTGAACATTATAACGTCCCCACAGGGAGCGAGCATGTTTGGTGGGGGAATTCGATAGTAATCAACAAATTTCTAGTCGAGTCCCCTAACCAACCTAGCATAACGATTGTACCATCGTAAGTGCTTCTGCATCTGAATGCCTTCATACTCGTCAGTACTTTGATAGAGGTGATTCCAAATTCTTATTCCAGAGATTAAGCTAGTGTTAGATATTTTAAGTTAATGCGAGTGTTATGATTTAGATGGTTTAAGTATACAAGTCGTACAGGTTTTTCATCTAAAAAAAAAGTGACATTAATTTATTGACGACCTAATACATTGTGTAGTTCAGTTGTTGTGAATTGGCGCTTGTTGTATTATTGCGTCATGTTACTAGAACCTTCCAAGTTTTTCTCGTTGTTTTGATCGAATATTATCTAGTTGTATGTAGAAAGTTCTAGGTCTCGGTCATGCTATAAATATACATACAAAATGTAGTTCTAGTTATATAGAAAGTAAGACAAAGGTAGACGGTTAGTTAGATAGCTTGAACTAGATTGCATGTTTGTGAGTTTTGCCTTAAAGAGCGTATGGTGGCGTTTTTTGTTATTTTTAAAGTGAAATTATCACAGATTGTATTGTAACAACAGAGTAGCCCGGCATGGCCAGGTGGATAAGGCGCTCGACTCACAATCTGAGGGTCGAGGGTTCGAATCCGTATAACACCAAACATGCTCGCCCTTTCAGCCGTGGGGGCGTTATAATGTGACGGTCAATCCCACTATTCGTTGGTAAAAGAGTAGCCCAAGAGTTGTCGGTGGGTGGTGATGACTAGCTGCCTTCCCTCTAGTCTTACACTGCTAAATTAGGGACGGCTAGCGCAGATAGCCCTCGTGTAGCTTTGCGCGAAATTAAAAAAAAACAAAAACAACAGAGTTTGTCTTATCAGTTGAACCAACCTGTGTGGTCGTTTGACGAAAAGAGACTATAATTTAAAGCTCTGGATACAACTGTGGTGATTAACTGTGTAACGAACATATGTATATACATTTGACTTGATTTGATATATTATTCAAGTGGACTGTGTGCTGTTTGTTAATTGCTGAAATTTCGCGCCAACAAGACACCAACAGTAAAGGATCCTGCCCATCCATATATAAAAACCTGACAGCCAGTTATGCCCTTAGTTTATTATATGCTAAACAGACAATACAAAACAGGGCACTTCTCTTTGAAGGATGAGTCAATGGTGATGGATACCATCTCATCGGCTTTACAGACATAAGCTTTCTCAGGCTTTAAAATAACTACAATATTTTCCTGAAATGGAAGAATGTAATTCATCGGAAGATGGTCAATTAAAGGAAATATTTTCACCTACAGAAAATTCATGCACTCCAAGATCCACTGGTAGGTTTCCTATTGTGTAGTTTCATTTATAATTGTGTGCACATTACCTATCTTGGCTGACGTATAACTACTTGCCAGTATTCGAAAGTGATAACCATCAGTCCTTTCACAGGTATTGAGATTAGGAGAATCTTCATTAAACTGAAGCATTTCGGTTATTTCTTGCAAGACATTAGGTCATTCTAAGCTTCCTTTTGTTCCTTTATTTTGCTCTATCTTATCAGTTCCTCCTTTTCTCTTAGTAACCTCTACCATCCATCTTATTGTTAGCATTTTTAATTGTTAATGGCAAGAAGATAATGTTGTACAAGTAAAAGATTCCTCAACTACTTGATGCAAATATCTCCAATATAAGTTATATTAAACCTGGAAACGGGTTGCATAGTAATTGTAATATATCAATTTACCTGTGACTGTAAGTTTAGTGTTCTTGTTTCATAT